GGGCCTCGGCCGAACCACCTCAGGTGGAAATGGAAGCCACGGCCACACTAACTCAGACAGTGGACGCTCCTCATCCAGCAAGAGCACAGGCTCGGGGTCTCTAAGTGGGCGCGGGCAGCCCCTGTCGGACAGCGGGTCATGTGGCCACTCGCCGCCCCCTGTGGAGGGCTATGAGGGGGTGGTGAGGGAGCTGGAGGACAAGCTGAGGGAACGAGACCTGGAGCTGCAGCAGCTCCGGGAAAACCTGGATGAGAATGAAGCTGCCATTTGCCAGGTAAGACACTCACCACCGACCAAACCTTTCTTTAACACACAATCAAAAAAACATGATTAGATGTTAGTAAAAGTTCAATATTGACCTCTGAACTCTTACCCATGTCTTTTGATCTGAAAGGTGTATGAGGAGAAGCAGCGTCACTGTGAAAGAGAGATGGAGGAGCTGAGACAGAGCTGCGCCACGAAGATGAAGCAAGCCTCGCAGAAGGCCCAGAGGGCACAGCAGGTGCTACAGTTACAGGTACTGTAATGGAAGTGCAGCATTAAAGTGAGCCGGGCCTAATAAGGCCTAACCAAACCGAGCGAGGCCTGCAGTGGAAACGCGTCATAAGTTTCTAAAAACCTTTTAAAACATTTACCCAGACAGAGATGTTCAAATTGTTACATTGCAAGTCTCTTGCTTCAGATGTGAGTCTGCAGATTCTTTCTTTGAGGGTGCATGTATTTTTGTAGATCGACTTGTTATTCAGTTTTAAAATATGTATCTTTGTGTGCCGTCAGGTATTTCAACTACAGCAAGAGAAAAAGAAGCTGCAGGAGGACTTCTCCTCTCTGCTGCAGGACAGAGAGACGCTGGAACGGAGGTGTGCCTCCATCCAGAGGGAGCAGACCCAGCTGGGGCCACGTCTGGAAGAGACAAAGTGGGAGGTGAGTGGAGGGGTCAGGTCAGGGTGATTAAAGCCATTCAAGGTGCCCTGTGAACTGCCTTTGTTCCAATCTGGCAGGGGGTCTCTTTGACATACTAATGAAAGCATAAAACAGCCCTAAAAGTAAGGTTAAAGAGTTATTATTGATACATGGCTTTTAAGCAATTTGTTATGTATTTTCAGCGATCTCAGCTCTGTCTCTAACTTGCCTTCTCTTGACCCTTCAGGTGTGTCAGAAGTCCGGAGAGATCTCCCTCCTGAAGCAGCAGCTGAAGGAGATCCAGTCTGAGCTCAGCCAGAAGGCCGGAGACATCGTGATGCTGAAGGCTCAGCTGAGAGAAGCCCGTTCTGAACTGCAGGCCAGCCAGGCTCGGTCCCGCGAGGCTGGGATGGCCCTGAGGACGAGATCTCTGGAGCTAGAAGTCTGTGAGAATGAACTCCAGAGGCGCAAGAGCGAAGCTGAGCTGCTGCGGGAGAAAGCAGGCCGATTGGAAGAGGAGTCAGCTCGCCTCCGGGACACTCTTTCCCTTCACAGCGGACACTCTCTTCCTGCAAATCTAAGCATGAAGGGGCATTGCATGAGCCTCTCCCTCCAGCAGGGAAGAGGAGTGACAGGGAGGGGGGGTCCCAGTCCGTCTTTGTACCGGGATGCAGAGGACACTCATGTAGTCTGGGGAGGGGAGAGTGATGAGGCGAAGGCACAGAGGCAGAATGCAGAAGCAGTGCTGGGATTCAGACAACAGGTACAAGATACTAATACTCAAATGAATGGGTAAACTGCGACTATTGTGACGTCCTCCACCATCTTTTTACTGCAGTTTCTTACCTTCTTTTATTTATTTTCTCCCAGGTGGAGAGGCTAAAGGCTGAACTCATGTACGAGAGGAGGACTAACGAGGAGCAGCTGTCACGGTTTGAGGATGAGAGGAGGGTGTGGCAGGAGGAGAAGGAAAAGGTAAAAAGGAGGATCTTTTCCTAATTTCTTGGGGATTTACTTTCTGTCATTTTCGTGCAGTCACATGCCAAAATAGCTTATTCTGATCCAGCGTACTGTTTTACTTACTTACTGTCCTTCCCTCCGCCCAGGTAATCCGTTACCAGAAACAGCTGCAGCAGAACTACATCCAGATGTACCGTAGGAACCGGGATCTGGAGCGAGTGATGAGGGAGCTGAGTCTGGAGCTGGAGAACAGGGACATGGAGGACTATGAGGTGCACAGTGGCAGCAACGACATCCACTTTGAGGAAATCACCGCCACAGAGATCTAAAAACACACTTATACTAATATGTGCACAGGACCATGGAAACACAACTCACAAAAAAATCAGAGGAGGTAAAACAAACATTGAACTCCAGGCCAAATACTGCACTATCTTCAAAATGGCTTCACCTGGACGACTGACCACTCGTCCCTGTCAAAATGGACGTTTCCCAAAGGTGCATTCTTACTTTCTACCAACAGAGAAGTACTCCAATAAATCCTTATAAAGTGTCCCCTCTGGCGCTTTTAACAGGTTTATTCCACTACAAAGCCAGCACAAAGACTTATTGCCCCTCTGTGGGAGCAAAAGCAGTGAAGACAGCGTTTCTTCCTCAGACCACATTCAAATCAGGGTATTAAAAATCGTCGGGCACTTGAAGCAAAAAATGTCATACAGGCACAGCAGTCAAAGTGCAGTCGCGCCTTTCTCTGTAGCACATACAGCTAAACACCCGGCCACCAGCATGCATGTTATGATGCATCATGACACTCCTATCAACACCCCCGCTGCAAGATATTAATGATGATTACATTGATTACCCTTCCACATAACAACAACAGCTGAACTGGTCCTCCACGAGGCTCAGCCGTGCAATTCATCTTTACAATTATTACAAGAAGAATCCTATTTTTGTTCTTGTGCTCTAATTCCTCAGCAGGTTGGTATTTTATAAAAGAATGTATGTGACTGTTATCAATCCAGAGTAATGCAGTATAAATGGTCATCATCAAAGAATCTGCTCACATGGTGTTATTTTTATTTGTTGTCCTGAACTGTTGTTTTTGTTGAACAAGACATCAGACTTCAACAAACAAGTTGGGACATTCATATAAGGACATCCTAATTTCCCAAAGCACCAAGGACACAGGAAACAAACGCTCAAAGGACGCTGCTTATGTTTCTAGACCACCAACAGTGATGCTGTTGCAAGAGTGCAAGCTCTGACATAAACATTTACATTTTACAATGATGTAGCATTAGGAGGTGTAGCATTGGAGATATTCTACTGATTCTCCTCCTTCTTTCTATTTCTGCCTTTGTCTCTATGTGCGCGCTCTCTCTCTCCATCTTTGCTTATTACTCTATTTTGTAACAGCTGGCAGTTGGTATCAGGAAACAAAAATTGGAGCATATTCTTCTTTGGTCGTGACGTCATTGAGAGATTTAAGGCATGCTTAGTCAGAGTTTCCGTTTATTCTCCCTCGTTCCCATTAGTGCTCTTTATTTAGCTTTTGGCAGCCCAAAGCCAAATAACACTTTAAAAGTCTTCCTAGTCTCCCTTAGACTATAATGTCACTGACTGCTATATAGGTAGCAAGACTGGCATGTCTGCATGTCGTTGTTTGTTGTATCAGATTTCAGAGGAAGCCGGTTCAGGTAGCGGTGAGATGTGAGTTTGCAGATGCAGTAGCTCCAGAGCTGACTGTCCTCAAGGCAGGTCGGCTTTAAAAGCCCTAAATATAAACCGGTGGGGAGTTTGTTCACATTTCAAGCTGTTTTCTCACAGTTCATGCAGGGCTGTGGGGAACACTGCTCATGGCGGGTCTCTACTGAAAAAAAGAAGAGGGCTGAGAACTTTTATTTTACAAAGAGTCTATATCAAGGAATAATCATTAAATGGAAATCTATATAATGGAGGAGATGTTGTATATTTTTTTATATATAGCACCTGAAGATATTTTGTTGTAGTACTGATTTAAGTGTGGGTTTAATAAACAAAACAACAACAACAAGACTTCTATATATATATATATATATATATATATATATATATATATATATATCTATCACATACAAAGACATCAAATGATGGATCAGTTATAAGTGGAGGCGGCAACATAGGAGTGCACCTAATACTGTAATGCATGAGAATGTTTACATTATATAATCTGTGTGACATTAGCATACACTCTAAAGACCAAACTTTGCATCTGATCGAAACAGTTGGGAGCTTATTAAAGGTTCAGTTTTGACTTGTTGTCCCTCCATTTTGATTGATCTTTCATTTGATCCTCAGTATCAAGCAGCGTTGGGTTTTGTGCACGTCAGTAGTTTAAAAAAGCATGAGATGGGTCATTTTTAAATGACTTGTTCATTAGGTTAGGGCCGCAGCAGATGCAAACCAGGATATTGTTAATTTTCATATACCTGGAAATGATATCATACCCCTTTCAGAAAGTGTAATCAGTATGATTGTCAGACTATATTTTGCATGACCTCACCACATTCACTGTGGTTTGAGAGAATGTTTAGATTATTAGTTCTGTATACATCAACATAAAGCCATGGGAAGTGACCATGAATGGAACAAGTTGGGTTTGTCCAACCCATATTCAATTTGTCAACCAGACCTAGACTGTTACACACTCACCATAAAGGCAGCAAAGATACAGATTAACAACCGACCTGACAAGTACTGTGTGCACCGTAGACTTAAATTCTTTCCTCACATCTCAGTTTCTCTTCATCGTTGCATAACCATTTTCCCCTTGTAAATATGTAAAACACTAAATAGTATAACAGAGTGACATTGTCTTTTATTTAGACAAAATATCTATTTCAAATGTAGCCACTGTGACTAGACCAAAGCAACGTAACACATTTTCTTTTTTTGTGGCATTTTTTTGTGGCATTCTTTTTTTTCATCCTGTTGTGTGCATTTGTTTTAATGTTTACTTACATTGTGTCTTCAGTAATTCACAAAGTATCTAGTTGTCCATGTATATTTTTATGTGTACATTTCTTGTACAAATGACTGGTTTTTAATTAAAGAACAAGTTGTCACACTTAAAAGTTACTGTTGAACTTTTTTTACCTGAAACATGAAATTAAAGCAGTATTTTGAATGAGCTTTTATTGTTTGTTAACTCAATAGATATGTTCAATTTCATCTTTGAATTGAATTGCATGTCTGAATCAAAAGGTTTTAACTTTCGCTTTTTTAGCACATTTGTATGTATTTCTCCCCATTAGCCATCTGCATAAGTAAGGCACTACGCACACTGTATTACCTTGCTGCCCATATCACCTCTACCCGACTTTAATTTAAACCATACCACTGGCCTTCATGTCCTGCATTTCTCATTGACATGTTTTTCCAACTCCTCCACATGTCTGCATAAGCTCAGTCCACAGCGGGGTGTAATTAAGCCTCTAAAGTGGCGGATTGCTCCAGAGCACCAGCACTTTTGCCAGAAAAACGGCACAAAAATACTGAGCAGCAATTCGTAATAATCCCCCCTGACATCCACTAAACCCAAACTATCAGTTTTGACATAATACAGGGTTTTAATCTGTGTATAAATCTATAAATCTCATAACGCAGGCTGGGGTAATCTCTCTCTGGCAGGCCTGTGGGACGGAGATGCTCCAGCTGAAAAACACAGACCACTATCAGACTTAGAGGTCACGGCAGGGTTGCCAAGAGTCAAACAATGCCGCAATTTCAACCAAGGAGGAGTTCATGAATTCAATTATCACAAAACTGTATTACTTAATGTTTGTCTAGTTGATGTGCAATGTATGTATTAAGTCAAATGTTTGCTAAAAACACTAAGAATGTTAAAAAACGTACATTACATTTGCAGTGCACTTAATTACATTGTAGCAAACTGGATCTTATCGGTGTCCTGATAAATAAACTACTGTAGCAGTGGTACAAACCTTCTCTCTAATGTCCACCTTTTATTTGACATATTTACTGTCATAACTCTGCCTTTCATAGGACACATGCTTCTGTGTATCCGTTCCCCTCCACAGTGACCGGAGATCTAGATGTCCCATATTTCTTCTTCTGGAGTGAATCCTGGATTCATTCACTAGCGCCGGAGTTGCAGGTTTTGTGTCCTCATGCCTGAACATCAGTTTGACTGTAAGGCACACAGAGGTTAGTCCGCAGGTCTCCTGGGGCTGCTGGGGACCTTTGGGACCTTGACCATAAAAACCATCGGGTCTTTGGCCTTGTTACTGAACGCTCTGCGAATAACGTCCACCGCGTGCTGATGAGTCACCCCCTGAAGACTCTCGCCGTCCACGGACAACAGCTCATATCCTGCCTGCAAATGCAAACACAAGGTCAAATGTTTAACATGCAATACTGTCAACAAAGGGTAAAAATTATTATTATTTAAATTGCATGATGACATAAAGTATATCTTTGTATTTTATCCTTTCCCCTTGTTTCTCTTTTTCCTTGGCGATCTGTCCCTCATGGACAGTTTCCATAAATCTGCAGTGATTGTGTCCCTTAGCGGGAACCTGATTTATTTTTGAGAGAATTGGGGCCCTCCTGTTAGTTTAATATATTCACACTGAAGGCCGTCACTAGTGCACATACTGTATAAAGTTTCCCCTTCACCACAAGGTTGTTGAAAAAAAAGAACATGCACTTACACAACCACACACACAAACACACACACATTTGTGACAGTTTTCTCAATGCTTCCTGCAGGATGCGAGAAGAGAGTGATATAACTTTGGAGGCCTGAGGCGAGGAACTTCCCCCGATGTCATCTGGATTTGACGAGGATGCACCTGCCTCGTGTGCTCAACCTCAGTGAAGGTTAGAAACACATAACACAGAAACACGCAAGGCCAATGGCCATTGTTGTATTTTCACCGATCACGTCTTTCTTCCCTTTCCCTTTTCCTTTCCAGTGATTAGACACAAAGAGGCTTGTTTTTCTTTCATTCTGCACCTGCCCGTTAGATCTATTATGGGTCAAACACATTTGTTTAGGAGGAGGCTGGACATGTGTTTGTTCAGACAGGTTTCTTCACAACTCATCAGACAGCCGTGTGTTACCTTAGAGCCTTCCGTGAGGACAGCATCAAAAGATTTAGATTAATTTAACCAAAGAGGAGATTAAAAGTGCTTTTTCCCATTTTTGAAAAGTAATTTATTTGAATTAAATAGATCTCAACCTAATCTGCCCTATCCTCTTTACGGCCATTTATGGAGCCCATTTATGAGGTTTCCTCTTAGCCAATGGACGTCACGGTCCAAAAATAACACGGCCTGTAAAAACTACTACAGTTGCTTGGAGAGATCAGTGAATCGTTCATAATGTGGTTTTCCAGGCCATTTTAAATAAATTCAACTTGATTATTCAGTTTAGGAGAGGTGAAGTTCTGGCTTTTTGTATTATTTATTATAAGTAAAATCTCTATAGATGAGTAAACATATCCCTAAACTAACAGTTGTGGGGCATCTCATTGTAAATGCTGAAATTATAAGTAAATCTACCGAAATCCATATTCTCTCACTTAGCTCAAATGGTATCAAGCCAGACTTTTGCTCAGGTTTTAAGATATTTGTCCCTAAACACTTGCTAAATGCGACTAAAATACTGTTTTTGTTTACCATTCAGCCTGACACATGTTGTGTGTTAACCGCACACTCTTACAGTACACAGTTCAATAAAGGCACGTGAGACACTCATGTCCAGATTTCCAGCTGACAAAAGCAGCTGGCACTGTCAAACAAACAGGAAATGATGTGTGCACATAACCACACATTTAGACACTCTTACACACTCACTCATTCTTCAATGATTGTATGTTATCATGCAGGTATAAGGAGAAAGGATGCATGTTACGCCCCTCGTCTCTCTGGAGAGAAGGGGGATTTTGAACTGAGCCAGCGAGCTGATTGGTGAGCTGACATGCCTCATTGTGAGGTGTGAGCTGGAGACAACAGAAAACAGTAGCAACAACGTCTCTGGTTATGATAGCAGCAATATGTGGGTCATTACCAACTTTGATCCTCACTGAAATATATCCACAGCTATTGAGAAATAACACAAGATTTAGTAAAGCTATTTGTGGTTCCCAGCAGATGAATCCACTTATTATCCACTTTCTATAGTGTCACCAGCAGGTCACGCTTATCCTTCACTTATTCCCTTTAATAACTAAACTATAATTAGTCATGATATCTACGTTACTTTCTGTTAGTCTTGTCAGAGATTAAGTGCACAGCATGTGTCTGTGTATTAGGTGAGTGCAGTCAGGGACAGTACAAAGGAAGTTATTAGAATATGAAAGGATGGACAGATACTGAATCCCCCTTATGTTTCTCAATCTAATCAGGCATTAGACCAGAGTAGTGATAGCATCTTAATGCAAGTGTTGTTTGGCTCTAGTCAAAAATTAGCCTGTGGTTAGCTGTAGTGAATGAGTGTGTGTATCAGGTGTGTTTAACTGGCCAAGATCATGGACGACTGTTAAGTTACTGTGCAGGCAATATATTACCAATACATTAGCAGACCAGCACCTGTGTACCTCATTAATAATGGAGAGGGTAGGATACTTGAGACGGCTCTCCTTTATCTTCTTCTCCACTCCTCATTGCACACCCTAAACCTCTCCCTCATAGACATCCTTACTTATAGGAACAACAACAATAACTCATAACCACAGGACAGAGGTGTGGCCGGTACTTACACAGGACTACAACCAGGACGGACATCTAATGTACTGCAAAACAAGGGTAGTATGAACAGAGTACATTTTCAATACTTATGGTGTAAAGATGTCCTTTTTCTCTGGGCTTGAGTCATAAACATATTCTGATTTTGTGAACACCATTCAATTGACACCCATTTATGTGACATGTTGAGGTGTTGTTTCCTGTCTTCCTGTCTCTGCCATTACTGCTCACCTTAAGAGACTCATTTGTAGACGCAGCTCCTCCTGGGAATATTTTCTCAATCTTTATCATGGGCTGCACTCTTGACTCCATCCCTCCAGAGATACTAATGCCTGTAAACACACAGCAAAATAATATATTTAAAGACTGAGGGATTGCATAAAAGTGCAATTGGCAAGTACACAAGTAAGTGATACCCTGACCTCTACTGGTGATGTAATAGATATGTGAGGATGAAAACATCAAAATGTACTATTTCAAACAAGTCATTTGGCAGTTTGTATTCTATTCTCTGCTGCCGCCCCTAAACTGTGGAACGACCTGCCCTTGTTAATCAGACAGGATCCCACATGCACATGCACCTGTCTTAAAACCCACCTCTTCTCCTTAGCATTCGTAAACAAGTAGATTGTTGCTTTTATTTGCTTTCAGTGGTCTATTGTTTTTATTATATGGCTGTTTTTTATTTTTTTATTATTACGTTTATTCTGGTTTGTTTTGTGTTTGTATCTTGTATTTTAAATGTATTTATTTTATGTTTTGTGAGCTTATCTCTCTGTACAGCACTTTGGTCTGAAGGTTTTAAAGTGCTATATAAATAAAGTTGGATTGGATTGGATTGGATATTGAACAACTAGTTCATAGAATAAGAATTACACTTAAAACAATCAAATAAACTCAAATAAGTGTGAAATACATGTATTTCTGTATAACTCACCCAGTGACTGCTTGGCCTTGGTGATGGTCAAAGCGTTGATTGCATACTCTTCAGGTGCTCTTCTTTTCACACCGTGACCGTTATGTGAATGTCCATTGAGCTGCTGACTGCTCTCTCTGCCTGTAGATGGACTCTTGTCTCTCTGGGGCTCGAACACATCAGACAGAGGGGTTCTCCCTTTCCGCTGTGAAGGAACACGAACGCTGACCTCTGTGAAGCCCTCCTGCCTGCGCTGTCTGCCCTCCATGCTGTCAGGACTCACCTCCCTCCTTGCCCTCCCATGGCCATTCCTCACAGGTGACCTCCCTCGATCAAGGTCTCCTCGGTCAGACGCTGACAACAAGGAGATGTCATCATACCGCGAGGCCCCGTTTTCTCTTCTGTTGGGAGAGCGATGGGGTTGGCGCCCACGCTGGGTGCTGTGAGGGGATTCTGTGAGGAGTAAGCTGTGGGTGGGCGAGGGACTCAGGGAGCGGGTGCGCCCGGTGGAGGAGGTGTAGCTGTCCACAGGTACATCCAGCAGAGGGGTGAAGGCACGGGATGGAGGCAGATGGCCTGACTGCTGGCCAGAAAAATGCAACCTCTCGAAATCCTCAATCAACTGACGCTCCGGCTGGGTGTCCTGGACCGGCTGGAGGTGGAACCCACCCCTGTAGTCTGGGTGACGTAAAAACAGTAAGTTGAACTTTAACCATGCAGTGGTAGACGTTACATCAGAGAACATCTGAAAAACTTCTGAACATAAACACAGTGATGTGTCGAAACAGCCAGTCAGCACTAGGTAAAAGATGAGTCCACTGATTGAGCATTTCACTCACAATAGGCAGTTTGAAATGATCAAAATTGATGCAGCATAACCAAAGATATTACCATACTTCTTTATGCTTTTCAAAATCTAGGGTTCTCATTCTAGGATTGCCATTGTATTGCAATAGTAATCGCTCATTGTAGAATACAATTGTACTTCCTGAACTGGGCATTTTAATATAAAAAGTAAACAACATTGTAACCTATAACCTACACACTTGTAATACCGATACCACAAAAAGATTAACACAAGCTTCTTCATGCAAGATCCTAAAGTGTTTCCATCAAGTGTTAAACAGAGGGTGATGAGTTAACACTAACACGCCTGTCTGAATGGCAAAATATGGATTGGATTTTATGTGTTTTGACATAGAACTATTGGAATAAATAATACATCATAATAAGCCTTTCTAAGAGATAACAGCAGCATAAAACAACATAAAACAACAACACTATAGCATTTTACAGTAACATAGGAATAAAATGTTGAAGAAAAAAGTAATATAAGCATGTCAAATTCACAGAGCACCAAACTGAAATGATAGTGTTGACCCTGTGACCCCTATCCTGTGATTTGAGAAAGTGAGAAGGCTGCAGTCAGTCTAAGATAAGATGGTATTGATTGTGTCTCAATGACTCCTGAATGAGATGAAGGATAAAAGCATCTCTGTATTGTTAGAGTGTCACGGTGGCTCGTCTCATCCCCTTTCTGTTGGCCACAGAGATGTAACACAAGCCTCTGCTTCAGCACAGGCACAGGAAACCTGAGATATTCAGTGTGTGTTTGTGTGTAAGTGTGTTTTATGTGAGGCTGGGAGGTGTGTGTGGAATGCCATGGATGGGATATGGTCTGTGCCTGCAGGTGTTTCAGTTTGACACAGCAGATAGGAGATGAGGCAGGAGAGAAAGTGTGGGAGGAAGAGTAAGAGTGGGAGGTGAGAGGCTTAAGCCCCTTGTGTATCTTGTGTTGCTTTGGGATTAGAGAAAGGACACAACCGGACAGAGAGGGAGTCAGAAGAGAGATTTTGAAAGAGAAAGGGTAAGAGGAGGAAAGAAATGTAGCATATTATGTACCTGGGACAGGCGTGATGAGGTGACGACGAGGGGTTCCACTGCGAGGGGAGCGCAGAGCTGGAGAACGAACTAAGAAAAGGAAAACAATTAAAACTATAACGCTCCATAAATTACTTTGTTATGTGTAATTTGTTCTAACTGTTTCTAACTTTTTATGTTGAGTTGTATCAATAAGAATAATCAGAAAAGTGATGTTCAGTGCATTCCTCTGCTTACCAGAGCGACTCTTCAGAATATCGTACGCCTCCAGCTCAAAGGGCATGACCATGCTGTCAAACCGACCCAGCTCTGATGTAGGAATCAGCATCCTGCAGAGGAGGTGGACAGCATCATGTAGACCTACTCACTTCAACACATACTGTGCATTTTCTTTATGAATCTCACCTTATTTCTCTGAGAAGCAGAAGTTTCTCTGGCCTGTCCAAGATTGCCAAAAGAGGACGCACCAAATCCTCAGTCACATTCTCGGATAAAAACTGAGGGGAAAGGTTAGATTGGTGCACAAATTAGAAGAGAAAATAAGAATAAGAGAAAGAAACTATTGTGGTTGTGAATAAAGAAAATGTTCTATCAGGCTATCTTATGATTATTAAAGGGGCACCTATTTTACACATCAAGTTAATGGTCATTATTTTTGAGGTATGATCCCATATATTATATTTCCAATACAGGTTATTAAACTGATGTGCTGCACAAAGTCTAATGAGAGGACGGTTATCATGGTGCATTATGGGAAATGTAACAACTATACTATACTCAGGGGATCTCAGGCTCTGCTGCATAAACCTTTAGTATTCTTCACATAGGTGCAATACTAAATTGCTGAAGCAGCCGTTTACCTTGAGGTGTTTTTAGACTCTACTGTATTACCTAGTGGGTCATAATGTGCTCTGTGTAAACTTGATATCGTCTGCAGTGGTGGTAAAGGACAGACAAACTAGCTAATCTCTAAAATTGTCCGATGAGTGTGAGATGGGACAAAAGGAACAAGGGGATCAACTGACTCCTGACATTTGATCCTAATCATAAATGACAGGCCAAATCCGTCTTTGGTCAAAGCTGCTGCCAGACACAACTACCGCTAAAGGACACTCAGCGACACTGGGAACAATAATACACACTTAAGCCTCAAGGTAGCCAGCAGGTTTCCATTCAAAAACACACACAGGAGAGTGAGTGTGGTGTTGGAGAGGGTCATTTCAGATCAGGAACTCACCCGCCTGCAGTGTCTCATCACAGCAGCCACCTCATCCTGACTGAGCAGTCTCTTGGCCATGTCCTCCACATGCTTCAGGGTCTCTGGTCGGGGCAGGGGGCTGTTGTCTTTAACCCCAGCACGGGATTCCCTCGGAGAGGTCAAGAGCTGGAAAGAACGACCCCGCTCCTTATCTGAGAAAATAAAGTAATAAAGACTGAAATAAACCACATGCATACAAAAACATGTGCAGGCGGCATGAGATATTTTCACAAAATCAAGATTTCACCTTACAAGTACGATATACAGTATTTTACGTGAGTGTGTTAATTGCTATCCAGTGTTACCTCGGATAGCCATAACTGATGTGAACTTATGAACTCACAGATAAGAACAACTATGTAATGGACTGGAATCCCCAAAATGCCATAAATGTAATATGAAACAGGACACTGTAGTTTGCTGCACATATCTCTGATTTGTTCAGCGATTTAAATATAGTAACTGAAGTGGAACAAAATGGCAATTCAGGCAAAACCTTAGGCTATAGTTTACTGTTTGGGGTGCAGAATTTGAGCCTGAGAAGAAAAGAGATGTCCTGTGACCGTGCACCCACCTTTGTCTGCTTGGTGGGACGGTGACTTGGAGCGGCTCTTCCCTTTACGGTCTTTCTTAAAGAAGAGGTTGACAAAGGTTTTGGATCGCTGCAGGCTGGTTTTACCCTCTCTCGTGCTCTTTTCCTTCTGCTGTTTCTTTTTCTTTTGTTTTTCCTCTATGGACGGAAAAAAAGAAGACAAAATAGCAGTCAAGTCCCTCTGAATAAGCAAATGTAAATATATTTCCGAAACCAAATGCTGTGAAACATAACTAATTTGAACACCTGCTAAATTAAGATATCGACAACAAGTAATTGAACTAAACATCTTGATTAAATCACAGAAAGTGTTCCTTAAGTGGTATTAGATAATAGAAAGGTACCACATTTAACCTCTGTGTGTTGAAAACATAATTCATTAGGCTTTGTATTGCTCCATGCTAAGCTGATAGCCAGTAACAGTTGGTGATACACACTCTCCGTTATGAGTACAGACTGTTCATTTCTCTTCCTGTCAGCCCCTCTGTTCACTGCAGTAAATCTGCCACCGTGGAAAGTAACACAGTAATACTGATGAATTGCAGCTACACCACCCTGAACATAGCCCTATCTATTGAAGGCACTACAGCGAAGTGCTCCAGCTTACATAACAAATGTCTAATCAGCCCTGAGCTTCACCCTGTGCACCCTCTATGTCCTGCAGGTATGAATGAGCTGGATAAATTGAAAAGGAACGAATAATAACTCAACAGCCAAGCCAAGGCTCAGATGAGATATTCCTCCATATGCTTGTTCCTATTCATTCCTCACAGAGGTACAACAAGTGAGAGCAAAGGCTGGTGATTAATCATGAGCCTGCGTTGAACTTTGGGCTCTTGGACAAATTTAGTGTGGAGCTTAAATCAACCATGTGGAGTCTGGTTGTTGTTGTTGTTTACTTCCTGGAGTGATACGAAGAAGTTGGGTCATTAAAGTGACAGATGACCTGCTGGAAGATTGCTAGAGGATTTGAGAGTGGATCCCATTACAAAGCGAATGCAGGTACTGTCACAAAAATCTGCTGAAAAAACTCAACTGGATTGTAGCTGCAATTCTCACCGTGAAGGGACTCTGGAGAGGATTATGTCTCCACTGAGATGGATGAAACTGCCACCGCAATCAACAACCAAAATACAGTAGAATACACCCTGATACTAAACGTGCCAACATAACAACAATACTGATATAAATTGTATGCAATAGGCTTATATCACCTGGGATATCGACCCAGCCAACTTATCAGTCTTAAACTGTCAATCTTTTAATTAAAGCTGTAGTAGGCAGTTTTGGAGAACCCATCAAGAGTCAGCTAGATTTATGAAGTGATTGAACAAACTAATTTCCAGCCTGGAAGAACATTTGTACGAATGTACGAATTATTCCAACAAAAAAACTTTTAAAATAACCTAACACTTTCTTTAATATAACATTTAAGTCTATAAAGGGACAAAACAATCCTTAGGATCCCAGTGAGCCTGAAGGTCTCACCTGATGCAGTGATGTGGCTCTGGGAACGTCTGATTGGTTTACGCGGTCTGCTCAGGGCCATCAGCGCCGCCGTCTTAGGTGATTCTTTCACTTCTTCCTGTTTCCCAGATGACAGCGTCCTTGTACGTCTCCGCCCTCCTTCTCCAGCTCCTCCCATCTCCTTCGGCCCTTCACCTATCCCTCGAATCACTGTGTCCTTCAGAAGCACCGTGGCCCCTACAGTCCTGCTGGTTTCTGTGGTGACTGGCATTTCAGGGAACGACCCATTAGTTAAGGGGTGGTCCTGGTAGTTTGGAGGATGGGGGTCGGTCTGCATGGCGGTGTCAGCAGTTCTCTCTGCGCTGCTTGGCCGTCGGGAGCGGTCCTCTGTGGAGATGGCGATGTCTACCATGTCTGGGCCAAAAACCTGAGGGAAAAGGACCTGGGAGAGACCACTTAGGGAGCTGAGAGGGGTGCTGGAGGACCACGAGGAGGCAGAAGAGTTTGAGTCTGATCCTTGGGAGGATGGAGCATGGCCCCCATTGGCCTCTGTAGAAAACAACCCATAATTAGAATGAAGTATGGGGATTGGTGTTTTTTTATTATTTTGCAAGTGGAATAACCAATGAAACTGTCCAATGATTACATGAGCATAGCACACAGACATACAGCTGTGAGGTTAAAAGATAAATAAGATTTGCACAGGAAGCTTCATTTCCTTATTCTACACTGTCTGCTTTGTTTGGGATAAAGTCTGTCTGGCTTTGAGTGAGCCAGATGTCAGGCCCTGCTCTGTTCCAGACATGTAAGTTTGCTGAATTAATCCCTGCCTACGTTCATAAGTACTCTTATAAAACTAAAGAACAAGGCATTTGAGTCCTGTGAAGAAATTGAATGACAGGGATTTAGTGTAAGCATGCTACATGTGTCCCCTGTTCCACTCTCGTTTATAAGATTTCCGAGTAAAATCCTGCACATTTTTTTTCTAGAAAAAGTATTTGAATGCAAGTTACTCTTTTCATGCTACTACTTAAGTCATCGTCTCTGTTAAAAGCTCATCTTAAACATTATCTCTGATGTAGTAGTCAACATACGTTGGTCGAGCCAGCCGTATTCTGCCACCATCTCCTTGTAAGCAGGATATCTCCCGGCTTCCTGAAGTGCAAAAACATAATAAAATGAATACTCAGCGAAAACATAGTGGGCAATGAAGTCATAAAAGCCGTAGAAAAGAAAGAAGCAAACTTAGTAAGACCTAGAAGTTGCACTTACTTAAATATCTTTGGTTGGCACATATATAACATAGCCTCTATTATCTGATTTAATATGTATGACTTCATATGCTGTATATCATATTTGTAACATCAATGTTATTAGCCTGGTTAGTTTGTCAAAATGTGTGTATCCGTGTGTATCCTTATACCTCTCCCTAAAAAGTTATAACGACATTTTAGTTGAAAAGGGCTAATGCACAAAAGGCAAAATAATTACGATGACGGAGTGCCATAGTTAACAATGGTTTCAAGGAAAGAGCCATTTTCTATATGAATTAGTACCCGATAGCCAAGAGTCTATTTTAAGGGATTGTCTCACCAACATGGTTTAAGGTCAAAGAAATAACACAATGTTCCACAAAAACCATAAATGCCTCAGTGTGACAGAGATTGTTAACTACAATGAACCGTGGCCGTATGTGTGATACACAATTGGGTTTAATAGGGGACACAAGGAAGATATAATATTCTGTTTTGTTGATTGTAACCTGATCCCTGACTGCCTTTGAATAATGAACGTCCTCCCTGTCTGTTTTTCACACGCGGAACCTGAGATCAGAGGAGTAAAATGAGCACGTAGCCGTGTCAGTGAGCTAAGAGAGCGCTCAAACACACTGCACCACACACATGTGCCCATTCAATACACACAGACACACAACTCCTTTATCTAAGAATGTCACAGGTTAAGTAACGTACACTTGCACACATGCATGCATACACAGACACATAAAGAACTAAAGGGCTGTGAGCCAGCTGTTCACTCTGCTGTGCAGAATCACTCTGTGTCCTCTGAGAAGAGCTGGTGTTGTTTAACATGCTGTAACATTTATTATTGTCACAGCACCTAATCAATTGTGATGTTTAAACCTGAGCAGATGATTAATATTGTCATACAACATACTTTTAGATGTTTAAAAGGAACAAGCTGTGAACACACCATTGATATATTATCACGTTCTCAAGTTGAAATTAACATATTTGTTGTCTATCTACACAACCAGCTGACATGGAACAACATCAGAATTCATTTGATGAATGTAAACCAAGTATTAACTCTACTTTTAGCTCTGTTTTGTTCTCCTCCAACTCCTATTTCACTTCTCAGCTGCTAAATGCCCCATTGTAATCACTAACTTGTTGTTGCTGTTAGTGCTGATGAGGAAGTGTACAGTGGTTTTGATAGAGCTCTTTTTGAGAAAGTGAAGTGCAGGGTAAACTAATACAATAAGCTTAAAGAGGCTAAAACGTGCCATACAGTAGAGGTGATATGATGCAGAGTTGCTTAATATAAAACCATTGATAAATGCAGCATTTAAATGTGACCTTAAGTGTATCTATGAAATGGTCTCTCACCCTGATGGTCAACATGACATGGGTGTGGCTCTTCAGGACCTCGACTGCGTTGCTATGGGTGATGTCATCAAAACCGATCCCGTTTGCTGCAAGGATTTGATCGCCCATTTTTATGCCATGTTGTTCTGCAAGCCCACCCGGGTCCAACCTGAAGAGCAACACACACAAACAGATAAAGATGTATGTCAAATCTGAACAGTAGGTAAGACGTGGGAACTTAAAGGTGGGGTAGTTAAGTTTGAGAAACCGGCTCGAGATACACTTGTTGTTATATTCCATGGAATGCTGTTAACATCCCGATAGCAATGAATATCTGAAGTGCTTTGACAAAAAATCCATTAAAAAAATGTCATCTGTGGAAGCCGTGGTACTGTAAAAAGCACGACCAATCATCTGAGCCGGCCCGGCTAAAATAACTGGATGGCCTACCTGCCTGTCAGCCTTCCATCTGTGCACTAACTTATCTCGTGCCCTCATTGGTCATGTGCGCGTTCGTGTGTGTTGGAGGAGGGGCTCTGGAAGGAAGTGGCAGATTTTTTCCGGCTGTGTATTTTCAAATTCTAGCGCACTCGAGCTGGTTTCTCCAAAATTACCTACCCCACCTTTAAAGTAAAAGCCGAAGCTAACTGCCTGTATAACTCTTTAATCTAATGTTCTACTATTCTATACAAAAAAAGTGATGTAAGTATGTTTGTGTCTTAATCAAGCTTATCATAGCAGTTTAATGGGCTCCAACTGGTGTATGTTATGCTTTGATTTAATGAAAAATATGTTGTCAGTCGTGCTCCTTTTTGCTCTAGAAAACGTTTGGCGGGGTTACAGCTACTCCTCCTCACACACGCACGGCACCACCCTCAATAATTGTGTTTGTCTGATGCCGATAGACTCTTCAGGTGCAAAACAAGAATGTGTTTTAAACCACACATGGTTCATACTTAGAAACATAAATTCCCAGTCCAAACTCTTTGCCTCCTCTGATGTTGAAGCCCAGACAGTAGTCATCTGATGTGGTGAAGAGATGCACGATCCTGCGGAGAGCACTGTCTGAACTCGTCTCTGACGGTGTGCGACCGCTCTCCTCCACCACCATCCGCCGGTGAATCAGATCCACCCTGCACACACACATGTAAGAGATGACAAATATTCATGCATGAAAAAATTCAAATACACCATTGTTCTCATTCACAACACTCCGTTCGATGTCTCACCATGGGATGCGCCTCATCGCGGAGCAAACAGAAGCATCAATCTCATTACGCCAATCCTGATTGGCTGGTGATCTTGACGTCAGCGTCAGGGAATTCACCCCCTATAAGTAGCTTGCGCCACGACGCATGCGTCATTCAAACACCTCTTCTCGCTTCAGAGCACATCTCTATAGTAGCCGGACAAGCCTAACGGTCCACAGACTGAACCCAAATATAACCATTTCGGTCGACGGGCGCTCGCCGGCTACTCCTTCTGCTTCGCAAGAAGTATTAAAATCGACCTCGCCATTTCTTTCCCCGGAAAGTAAGGTAAAGTTTTGATTTTTTCTCAAGCTAGCTACGCACCTGTTGCTAGCTAGCTTCCCCTTACTACCGACACCACGGTAGCGAGGACGCTTTTCTTTTTCTCTCTCACGGAGGAGAAAAGGATTAGAAGTATATTGACACACCAGTCAATATTCTTTGAGAACAAAGGACCCACACCGTCCCTTTTTCTCCGGATTAAGGACGGGTTGGTAACACTTTTTCTCTCAACGACGTACCTGTTACGAGCGGGTCCTCTCCACGCCACGAGGCGAACAAGATGGACGCCTCTCCCCCTCACACCAGAGGAGTCAGGGACTCGGAGGCTCGGTGATGCGGCTGCGGGTTGAAGATAGCAGGCACAGACTCACACCAGGTTTGCTCGTCCTGCCTCGGGCTGGAACACGCCCAGGAGGCTATCGACAACCCCGGCTCGTGCGGGCATTGTGCCCGCTTCACCCGAAAGAGCCTCCACCGACGGCTAGCACACCAAGCTAGCTTGTTGGAACAGGACTCCCTCATGTCCACTGATTCGCCGTTTGGCAATCAAGACACGGGGGCGTCCGCCGCAGAGACTGAGCCCCTCACTGTGTCGGTCTGGGGCTCACTAACAGCGGCAGCTGCGGAACCGGGATCCCACGCCGTGTAAGGCCGGGACCCGGTGGCGGCAAGAGACGCGGGAACGGAGCCCCACGCCTCACCAGGCGGGAGCTCCCGGCGAGACCTCACCATGGTCTCGCCCGCAGAGGCTCGGCCTGCTCCGCATACCGCCGATGGAACTGCTGGTGGCAGCCCACCTCCTACCGAGGATGGCCCGTCAAGCGCACTGAGATTTGTCACAAATTGTAAAGCACTTACTCATCACTGTACCCTGTATGCCAAGGCAGGTCTGCCATCACTTACTGTAAAGAGGCTCAGTCATTTGCAGGGTTTCCCACACATAGACTATACTTGGGCGGGCCGCCCAGGTATATTAACGGCCGCCCAAGTATATTTCGCGACCCTTTTTTTTTTTTTTTTTTTTAATAAGTTTTTTTTGTATTTTTTTTTTTTTATTCGTCCGTGACCACGACGCCATCTGCGATCGATTAACTTGTGGACAATGATCCCTCGCTCCCTTGCTCTGATCTCGCCTCGTTAAGTGGCCTGCCTCACACAGGGTGACTGGCTGTCTACATCAGGGTTGCCCACACTTTTTGGGCTGGTGAGCTACTTTTGAAATGACCAGCTCACCGAGGTCTACCAACCAAAAATAAAATCCCAAATTGCAAGGGTTGCTGAATAACACGTTTTATTTATACATGGGATAATAGGGCTGCAACAAACGACTAATTTGATAATCGATTAATCTATCGATTAATGAAACGACTAATCGACTATTACTGTATGCCTTGCACAATTTCTCAAACCCTCTTGTTTAGCCATCAACTTTTAGATTTAGCTTGAGGTTGTTTTAGGCATGTGGAAACTAACAATGAAGACAATAAAGATGAATACTTGATTCAAAAATACATATATTATTAAATTAACAAATTGTGAACAAAACTAACATTGCTTTTTATTTAAATTAAATAAATAATATTTCACATCAAAAGAAACAACAATGTTTTAACAAATCGTATTAAATAATCTGATGACAGAACTGTGAACAGAATAGCTGAAACTTTAACAAAATAAAGAGTAACTCAGTTACCTCTAATCATTAACCCATGTTTGAATCATTGAGTTAACTGCGTGTGTTGCTGCTAGCATACATAACACCTGACATGGAAACGTTACTCGTGGACGGGGCTGCAGAGCTGCTAGAAAGACAGTGGAACCCGGTGCATTCCTCCGTCTGGATGTGGAGCACTTTTGCTAAATGTTTGACACATTGCTCGTGTTACCGCCCTCACATGCTGAACTCTCTTGGCAAGGAGCATTGTCCACCTCAAGACGGGTAACATTTAACCACACCTTGGAGCGCTTCTCTCCGCCATCTCCTCCGTGTGTTGCTGCTTGCAGCAGCCGCGTGTGTGTAAACTGCCCCGCCCCCTCGCGCACAGACGGGGGAGAGAGATCTCGTCTCGATTGGAAAGATCGAAAATACACCGACATTTGTTTGTCTTTGTGCATGTTAGAAACGAGTTGGCGACACTAAGATTGCGAGATAATATTTGTGTAGCAATAATACATGACCTTTCTCTTTCTCAACTCGCTACTCGGAGGGAAGTCGCTGTCATATGCCTTGTGAACACTCCGATAATGCCTCTCCACGTTACCTTTCTTTGGCAGAGCGACGCTTGCTTTACAAATAAGGCAAATAACCTTTGAATGTGAATCACAGCAAAATATTCCTCCTCCCATTCTGGGTGGAAGTGGTTTGTCTTTAGCTTCTTGCTCGGTCCCGCACTCATTTTGTTGTTTGTCTCTTGTTTGTCTCTTTAACTTAATTTGAGTTTTCCCGGCACTTGACTGATTTTGTATCGCTTTGCATTCTGGGTTAACAGACTGGAAAGCGATAGGTCGCTTTTTCTGTCAATCAAGTAAACTCCTGAATTAAGTGGCAGGGAGGCCAAGGGAGGAGGGATCAAAACCTGTTTTGTCTATTTTAACGGAACAGGATTTTTTTTTTTATGAATGACTCGCGATCTACCAGCATTGCCCCCGCGGTCTGACGTACTGGGCACCTCTGGTCTACATGATGTGGCCTGCCAACATGGCCACTGTCATAGAGATCATAAATCAAAGCCCTTGATTGGTCTCTGTGTGTCATTCAAGCTCGGGATAACCTCAGCTCAGGTGAGGTAAAGGACTCTCTGAGTGTTTAGATAGTTAACTTAGTTTAAGTTCTCAGTGGGTCTCAAACGGTGTGGTCACCATTTATGTAAACACATATTTCCATTTGAGAGGGTAGTGATTGATCTATCATCAAGATCGGAAGGCTGTGAGTTCAAATCCCGCCAGGAACACCACCACTAGTGTGCCCTTGAGTGCCATCTTTACGCAAAATGATTATACAAAATGAAAACTTTTTTTTTTTTTGCGCACCCCCCCCCCCCCCCCCGCCGCCCGCTGCCACCACCCGCCCAAGTATATTTCAGATCTGTGGGAAACACTGATTGGTACACGTTTATTTATAAAGCTTTGTTGGGTAAACTCCCATATTATATCTGCTCTCTGATAACACAGAGAGTTGCAAGCAGCTATTGTCTGAGATCGCATGATGTAGTATTGTTAGATGTGCCAAGAGCAAGGACTGTCTCAGGTAAGACAGCTTTTATGTGCGCAGCGCCACTTGCTTGGAACAATCTTCAGCAAGAATTGAAACTGAGCAATCTCATTCCTCTGCATGTTTTTAAAGCTAGGCTAAATGAAATGCTCGTTGATACTATGGCCACTTGTAAATGTCTATAACTATGTAAATGTATCCTGTAAATATAATGTATAATGTCCTTTATTGTTTTATGTTTGATGTGGAACCTATATGCTGCAGGTCTCCCTTGAAAAAGAGATCTATGATCTCAATGGGACCAATCTGGTTAAATAAAGGTTTGAAATGAAATGAAATGAGGAACCCCACGCTGCCAGCGAAGGTGGACCGTTTCCAGTCGACCATGACTGAACGGTCCTACAGAGCCGCAGCGTTGTCCGCCAGGGCTCTGAACGTTTCCTCACTGCTAACCGCATACCAAGCGGAGCTCTGTGAGGATATGTTGAGTAATCCTGGACCGGCCGTTCTGGATGAGTTGGCCGCGGTCACAGACATTTGTCTCCGTGTCCAACGCTGCGCCGTCCAGGCCACGGGCAAAAACAATGGGGATCATGGTGGTGCAGGAAAGAGCTAGATGGCTCAACCACACCAACCTCCCAGACCGGGAAAAGGAGGATGTGCTTGACATGCCCATCGTTCCCGAGGGGATTTTCGGCTCCGCTCTTGCCTCCATGCAGAGGAGATGCGAGTCGAAAAAGAAGGAGGACGAGGCCCTCCACCTCTGCCTCCCTCGAAGGGCCCAGCCGCTGCCTTCGCAGCGGCAGCCCTTCGTCCAAGCTGCTCCGACCCCTGCTCGGTTCAAAATACCGAAAACGCAGAGGTCGCAGTCCTTCCCGAGTCCCCAGCCCAGGCAGGGACGAGGGCGAGCTGGCCTAGAAAATCTCCGGTTCCGGCTGCAGCCCAGGCACAGCCAACCCAGAATTTCGGCCAGCAGTCGAGGAAGAAGAAGCGAGCGGCGTGACAGCCACTCCTTCTCCCCTCTGTGACAGAGCTGGAAGTCTACGGTTCCCCAGCTCTAAATGTGTTCCCGCCGCCTCGAGAGATGCCTCAACACCATCCTCAAGTCCGCATAAACACATGTCACACACTTATTGATTTTTCTGTCATAAAACATTTTCCGCTGACGCATCCAGGCTTCGAGCCAAGGGCGCAGCTCGAAAAAATGAAAAGAAAAACAATAAAAACAATAAACAGTCCGTCAACTGTTCCCCTTCTGAGAGCAGCTCTCAAAGGGCGGACAATTGACGGGTCTGTGAAGGCACCACCGTCACGCGCATGCGCAGTGCCGGCTGGGGCTGTAAAGGCACCACCGTCACGCACATGCGCAGTGCCGGCTGGAGCTGTAAAG